TTGGTTCGCTGCCATCGCGGTTTCCCCCGGCCCGGATGCGCGTCTATACGTAACGCCGAAATCGATCCCACTTTTTTAAGGGATATGATGGATGGACTCCTCGGCCGACTGCTCATGGTGCCGGTCGCCTTATACTTCCGGAAACGCGGAAGTAAAGAGGAAATAGAACTCGTAGCTGTATACGCTCTGTGAAATCTGGGGCGTCTACGTTCTCGAAAAACACTCGAGAGAGCCAATCTCTGCACCCTACGGAGGATGCTCGGCCAGTGACGGGGCTGAAAACATCTTGACACTTATAGAATCACTGTCTGCGGTGCGGCACTGAACGCGGTGAAACGTCAGGCCCAGTGCCGCAGCGCATTCGTGGCGAGAGTCCCGAGTGTGTCATTGTTGCTCCGCAGCCAATCAGATTGCCGGTTTGAGGGATTAGAGCGCCCAAGAACCAATCACGAAGCGAGAAGCGTGTAACATGAGACGCCACATCCTGCTGTTCTTAATTGAACTGTCAGTGACTCTAGCGCCGTTTATTGACCGTCATTCCTTGTCAGGTACTTAACCAGGATTTTGATTCGGGTTGTGAAGGGGGGGGGGGGGGGGCGGGGGAGCCCCCCCCCCCCCCCTTTTTCCTTTATGGATACGTTCCTGCTCCTTGTGTGGGCAAGAGTACTGGCGAAGACTTTCTTTTAAGGTTCTGAATTTCATTTAAATTAACTTGACCGTAAATTGAAGTAATCTCCCGTTCGGACGGTGCTCAACCAACTATTAATGGAAAACGCCTTTATATTTATGTAGAAATATATGCATATATAAAGTGTAGTCACAAAGCAATCCCCTCAAAATGAATTTATTAATGTTCCCCGGAACGCAATGTTGTATAGATAAAAAAATTAAAATGTTTTTATCTGAAAACTTTTTTTTTTTAAGAAATAACTTTTTTGATAACGCTTTATTTATCCTATAAAATACAATTGAGGTAACAAAATTAAACGCGGCAAGCTTTGATGGGATTTCAGGCACTACTTCCGACATTTGGTCATTAATATGTATAATGATCAGAATGAACGGCGACAGCTCGGGAGACAGCCGAAGTTTGAAATGTCCGTTCATCTTCATTAATATTATAATGATGATTATGCCTACTCTTTCGACGGTTCCTATAAAATTGATTATAACTGCGGCAGAGAGATGTACTCAGAATAAATTCTGGCTGCTAAATAAATAAAACGATTGCCATCGAGTAAAGCCAGAGGGTCCGCGGCGCGGGACTGCGATCGGAATATTTCATCATTGCATTCCCGATGAACAGATGAATACCCCAACAATAAGGAATATTCAATTTTGTCTGTAGCCGGTCATGTCACGGGCTTCATAGCGTGTTGAATACGCAAAAACTAATGTAATGCCCGTTTTCCTTTTTTTTAATTTTCTCAATACACAATTTGGTTTAGGGCGCCACTCATCTTTTGCATGGGAAAGTCAAACACTATAAATCATTAAAAGACTCAGCCAGGACGACTGTGGTCTAGTATTTTGTACTGGAGCTGAAAGCTGTCCGCAGAAGGCCGGTTGTCCCTTTTGTGAGCCCTTGGTGCCGAAGGACTACCTGCCTTCTTGTTCCTTGTTTCTATTTCTCATTGGCACTTTCTATCTCATTACAACACAGATCGTTCCTGTGTGTGTCGTGTGGAAAATAGTAACGAATATGCTCATTCCTTAAAACAAATGCTTCGCCCCCCCCCCCCCCCCCCAAAAAAAAAAAAATAAATAAAAGTGGAATGAAAAACCAAAACCAAAATATATATTTATATGTTTACACACTGCTGGCGAGAAAGACGCGTCGCCATATTAAGAAGAAAAAAAAAATACTCTGACGTGTTGTATATACGAGACGAGACGAAACGGACGTGCCGGATCATTGGTTCCCGTGGGATAGAGCGAGGCTTCGTGGTCCTCTCCACACGAGACCGAACACATTTCGGCGAGTTGCGGCTCTGATTCGAGCTCGGGGGAAATCAAGAGAGCGCGCCTCCAAACGTTTCGGCAAATGGGGCCTGACGCTCCTCAGCCTCACGCCACCAGTCCGTTGCGGTTTATGGGCCTTGGCGGCCGCTTGTGCCGGTGGTCGAGGCTCTCCCAGGCGGGTGTCTCGTTTCATTTCATCTCCGTCCCCAAGCGACGCTGTTCTATACCAGATTACAATTATAAATGACCGAACCTCAAATGTAGTGAACTACCTTCGCTGAAAAGTAACAGATTACCTTACTCATTACGTTACAAATTAATTTCACGTTACTTTTTCAGTACACTTATCAAGAAAACAATAGAGACAACTTTGATGTTTTCATAAATGTTCCGCAACGCTACTTTCTATTTCTCATACGCCCGGATTATGGTAGTCCTCGACACGGAACGCCATCTAGGTGCGAAAACCGCTACTAGACTTTTGTTGAATGGCTGGGAAACGTGATTTCAGTCGAGCTGTTTTCAATCGGTTTTCTGGGAATGAAACCTCGACGCGTCGATAAAGCTCGGAATTGGGAAATCATTGTCCGAGCCGTGAGGCTCTATCGAAGGCCTCGAGCACGTTTCTTTCCAAGAACGCTGTCGACAGATTTCGACGAGAACCCGTATCTATGGGAAACTTTAAACTTGACAAACGGCAGCTCTGGCAATCCGCGTCTACCCTGTCCAATTGAGGAAACGAAACCCGGCTTTTCATTCCGCATAAAGCTCACACTGCAGAAAGCTGAAACCCCGCGAGAATGGTATGCTAGCGGTGGTGAATGTGCATGGCGTTACCTGGACTGGAGGTTACGAGAAATATACACAATTTCTTTATGAACCGATGTTCACCCATGCCATTCACCAAACCGAAAAAGAAATAACAATGTGGGCGCACGCAGCATTTGTTTAAGTGAAAAAAAAAAATATATATATTTTTTTTCTGCAAGAACTATGACATTGTTTTCTTTCGTACAGCCAAGCTTTTGTCACTGGAATAAACGCTACTGGCGCTGGCAATGTAATATTTTGGTTTGACGAGTACTAGGCTTAGCTGGACGTTGGCACATAGATAATTGTTTTATACCTGTATCTTTTGATTCAGGTGATGTAATATTTCTCAAAACATTCGCATTTTATTACCACCTCTGCCGCCACGTTCTCATTGAGTTTCCGTTTTCTGCGAAGCATACTATAAGCGTGCCGAAAAACCGCGTGTTATTTTCTCGCTCGGACTTGGTAGTTTTACGCCATTGTTATGCCCTCTGTCTATATATCATGTCCTCCGTCTATACACGCACGGAGGGTGCATTCGCCCAGTGTACGCCGCCCGAATAATAATTCATCCATCCAGTGATAAAACTCCCGCCCAATGCACCCTGATGTAAAGTGCGTGCCACTGACTTATCTGAGTTCGCCACTGTTTGGGTGTTCGGCGGAAACTCGGCTTAGCTCGAATCTAAGACGAATCCTGCGTCAGCGTTCGGTGAAGATTCGAGTCCAATCACACGCGCTTCAAGAAATGGCGACCGCCACTGTTGCTCGATGGGGCTTTGAAAAGCGTCTATTATCAAGTTTGTAGTGAACGAAGCACAGGATATTGCCCCGTCTGTTACGGACACGCACATGCACGCACACGCACGCACACACATGCAAACACGCACACACGCGCGCGCAGACACTCACACACGCACACACACAACATATTTAGTAAAAACAAAGACAGTCATTGACGTTAACAGTCGGAAAGTTTGGAGGAAGTAGGTTCAACGTCTACCCATCCTTGCGCGTTGCTCTGCTGTCCATCACCGGAACGCGCTAAATAGACGCCGGCGCAGCGTGGCGACAGGTTTGCTCATTGGTTTCGGCATGAAGAGCAGAGTTTCCTGATTCGCCGGTAGTGTCCCAGATTAGTGCGACTAGCACTGAAGGAAATGGATTGCGATGAAAGTGACGTCCAATTTCGTGAGTTGCGTGGGTGTCTGACAGCATCGTTCATTGACTAACGCTAAACAAAACGTGTGTGGGAAGGTCTTTGGGGCGGAGCGTATTGGAAAAGGTCAAAGCAGTCTCCGACCTCTTATATAAAAGTGAGTGGTAGGCTAACTTCCGCCCATTTGCGGTAAAAGCGGAATTTGGCCTAACTTGTTTCAATTATCAAAAAATCACCGAGAGGTGTGCTTCGGATACTGCGAAACGAGGTGCTTCCACCCCCCCACCCCCCCCCCCCCCTCCCCAAAAATAAGAGCCGAGATACGACCTTCAAAACGTCAGATGAACAAAAGAGAACAAAGACCACCTCAATTTTCGTGGAAAAATAAAGTTGACATTATCCGTGAGATCGCTTTGAAGTTAAAACCAAGTTCACGTCCAAAGTTGCCCCCCCCCCCCCCCCCTTGTTTTTTTTATTTTTTAGCGATTATTATGGCCATTAGTTGTGCTAATGTGTAGCTCGACCACGCTGCGAGGAAAAGACCCGTCAAGGGGAAAACATCGGCAACGCAACTAATCTCCTCTGATCAAGCGCTTTTCCTGTTTCCATCGGGGACGGCGCTATACCCTTGAAATCTTGATATTGAACTTGAGGTACAAGCAAGATTATTAACTTTCAAAATCCTTTGGCGTTTCTATATTCCATCTCACCTTAAGCCAGAGGAAGGTCGAGACTACGAGTTGAGACTGCGACTCGATGGGGTCGATCAAATGGGGCTGATCAAGAAGTGCCGAAAGCGGAACGTCACGTCGCTCGCCGTGTCTCCGTATATATATTAGAGCGGGCTAAAGCGATTATGCGCAGTGCATCCCCCGCCACCCTTGTACTTCTACTCTTTTGTGTTTGTCTGTCTTGTAACCGTTAACTGCACTCTGATTTAAAAATTAAGTATAGAGCGAAGCGATATCGGCCGGCTCACGCTGTCGGACGAGGATGATATCCAGGGAGCAATTTTCAACAATTTGTTGCCATGTAAACCGTGCGTTCTTGCTCTTTCTCTATTCAGGGCTCCAACACCGGAGGAAATCGGGGAAAGTTGGAGCAGAATGGAGACCCTGGGTAGCGAGCACGAAGATGCCTCTCTGCAGAAGAAGAAGGCCAAGGTTAGTAAATATACGATAAGTTAGCGGATTAGGTTAGCACAAAAAGCCGCAGCAAAAAATGCTCAATATACGTGGGCTCAGTTCGATAAAAGGGCAAGTGCGCCTGTCTCGGTGCAACGTTTGTACTACTGGAGACTGCACACTCGAGGAAAATAAGCAAGAGGGCATGGTCAAGACCTTAAATACGTTAGAATACTTTTCTGTCAGAAATGCCAGAGCTGAAGACCGACAAAATGCTGCGAATGGGAGAAACACCCACAAAGGTGTATTTGTGTTCTTCTCTCTATTTGTGTGCCTTCGGCTTCGGTTTTCGCAACGTTGCTCGTTCACCAGCTCCCTTATGGCTTCACACGGTATATCCCGTTTCTTTTATTTTTATTGTTTCTAAATTTTACGCTTCGAGTAGAAGTGATGTTTGCTCAGCTTGTGTTAAATGTTCCGTACGTTTCTTATGATAAACGGACGATACATCATTCATTTACTCTTTTTCTAAGCTACATCGACAGCAACCTTAGCAAGCGAGCGTGCAACGCGTAAGCGTCCATACCCTCTGTGGCAAAACCATCAGGCGTTTTGGTGAGCTTGAAGGGACAGAGCTTGTCGAAGACTCGTTGAAGCGGGCTAATTTGTAAACTCGCCTATACCAGGACAGCTCTCCTATGAATTTATAACATTGGTGTAGCGCGATCCGGCGTTTATACTGTAACAAACTCCGAGTGTATCAACCGACCTCATCAGTCTCAGAAGGGTGTCTCGGGGACGCACGATGATTCAGTGCCCCATTTATGCCACGAATCATCCGCGACGCCCGTGAACGGCACTCAACTGAATTGTAAGCACCGACACTAGCCACATCAACGAATAGGAGGAAACTTTGTGTCAGTAAAAGTACTTTATGACATTCGCAAGTCATTTTGGCGGACGGTCCGCGTATAACGCCAATGCTCCGAAGTAACCCAGCGAGCAAGTAAATGTGCGCGATTCTGAGTGGTCACACTCGCAAAGATGACAAATATGCCGGTCGACAAGACTCATGTACGAGTACTTGCGCTTACGGTCGGTTGAAGCTGATGCTCAGTGGTTGCTCTTATTAGGGGCGAGAGCACTCAGTGGTTAAGGTTCTGTACTCCACCATACAATAACAGCTTAGATGGCTCGTGTTTGTGAGGAAGTATAAACCATCCTAGCAATTGCTTTTAGCGTACTGCCATTCTCGTTGGACTGTGGATCACGTGCCGAGCTTGCACAATAACTCTCGTTTCTCATATATGGTGTACACCGCTCATGCGCCCACACCTCCTAGAAATAAGGCCGTAGCGCTCTTCTCGTGACGTCGCAAAGGAAGGCCATCGGGGGGCGCGCGTCAAAGCGAAGGCAACGCGCTTGGATCGACCGTCGTAACGCGCTTTTAGTCACATACGCGCGTGTCTTATTAGCTAAACTGAAAGCTGCACATAGAAACGGGTCTAGTAAACATTTTATAACACGGGCAAAATATTACACTGCTAAATATTCGTTACGAAATGGCACGAATAATGCGCATAAGACGTCCAGAAAAAAATGTGATTGCTTTAGGTCGAAAACATTGGATCACGAATTTATTGCTGTAGGAATGCATATTTTATACAGAAATGCTTCAACAAAAAGGCGCAGTGATCGGACACAGCAAACAGATCACTGTTAAAAATCAGGTAGACGTAGCCAACGCGGACACGGCTAGATAAGTGTCACGATCATGTAAGCGATGTTATCCCGTGCAGCCACTAAGTTCTTTCATTATACCCCGGCCACCTGACAAAATAATGTACCTTCTTGGCGCAATATGGCCATAGTCGCTCTTGCGCCATTAAACCCCAATAATAATAATAATAACAAAATAATGTAATTTCGATCGATGACATTATGGGGCTGACAAATCAGCTTGCGAGGCTCATATAATCACTCGAGTCCGCGAGCTGATTAAACCCCATATCATTTAATGAAAATGTATCACCTTTTCCACGTGGCAGGGGTACTAAACTTACAATTTAGTCAACTAATGTACTTTTCCCTATGGGCTCGAGCTGCAGTAGAACCAAATATAACTTATTTTGTATAGAATATTACAGTTAAAATTCTATTATAAACGTGGTAGAGGCAATTAAAAAAAACATTGGTATAAATAAACACAAGCACAAACAACGCACTTTCAATAATCGCACAAACTTGTTATTCACCTTCCAGTAAAAACTAGAATATTACCACGCATATTTACAAGTGTCGACGCAATAGCACACGGATAACGACGTACAAAATTACAATCTATCTCAAGATAAAAAAAAAAAAAAAATGAAACGAGTGCAGCACTTGATTTGCGTCCTATATGACCAAAAAGCCCGTAAATAAGTTGTTTCCCACCTGTCGAGTGTATCCATACGTCCCACAATATCCGTGACGAAAATATTTGAACCCGAACTCCAAGTAGTCTCTCTCTGTTGAGAGAGGCCTATATCGATAATCGACCAGTGTCATCATTGACTGGTTGCCACACACGTCACTCAAACTGTAACCAGGACTTGTTCCACGAATCCATGTAAAAGCCGTAATGTCAAGCAAAAAAAAAAAAAAAAAAAAAAAACTACCCGAGACTGCGATGACGACAGAAAAACGACGGCAAGAAGTAAACAAGTCTCAAAAGAACCACACACGAGGCGGAGGCACCGGCAGCAGGACGAATGGAGGCTTAACGTTGTCGACACATCCTTTACTCGTGTCCGCTCCGTGCGGCGATGACTGGATTTTTTTTTTTCGGTTCCCTTCTGTTTTGAAATGTAGCAGCGTTCCTTTTCAGACGGTCAGCAGCTCACACACAATATAAGTTTACGAGAATCAGAGCCCGTATAAGGAAAGATGTGGCATCGCACCCGGTTCATTCGAAAAGTGTGGGGAGCTGCGGGACTGCGCGTAGTCCCGCGGTTACGAGGATAATCATAAATACAAATTTGATACTTTCAACCCTCGTAATGCGTTGTATATTAAGTTTATATATATATATATATATATATATATATATATATAATAAATTGTACAAAACTGCGCTTTTAAAATGTATATTAATGTCGGATAAACGCTCACGAACACCACCGCGCCGCTCGAGAAGAAGCATTTTTTTTCACGTCGATAGTGTCGTAAGCAGACATTTTCTCACGTAGTTGTGCCATAACCTTCCTTCCTCAGACACTGTGACGTAACCACTCGGAGCTTTACGGCCTTATTTCTAGAAGGTGTTGCGTATAGGCTCAAGAGCGTCTACGAGTCTGAAAGAAACAAATTATGGGCTTTGAAGACTCACCTTGCACCTACACTCTAAGAAAAAATGGAGGAAAAAAGTAGCAACGGCGCGCCTTCCTCCCTTCTACCGACGCGCCCCCAAGCGGACACGAGAAAAGGGGAGGAACGAAATGTTTTTCTCCTTCTCCAGGCAGACGGGAGAAAGCTTTCGCCCTCCCGACTCATCTTCTTTCGGTTTCGTTTTTCGAGCACATCGCACACGTTGTTTAATAAATTGATGTTGAGTTGATTGAGCTTCAGCAGCAGCGAAGGCCGCCTGTAATTTCGTCTTCCAGTTTAAACGTCCAGAACATTTCGGTTGCATTGACATTTTTATCACTAATTTTATCAAACGAGCAAACGAAGCCGCTAGAAACAGCGAAGTTCCGGAGCAGTGCCAGCAGCGCCACGTACACTGGGGTATGGCCGTCTCCGGATTGCGTGACTCGCGCGGCACCAGGGGGGGGAAGGAGGGAAAGGGAACGCGGCGCAAAGCGGAGGCTGCCATATTAAAACCGCTTACGTTGCCAGCATAGGTTTCGCAGTGGAGAAGTTGCTGCCATATACGGCGGACGAAGTTTTACTTTCTTTTTCGTTTTGGAAATAATGTATTGTTGTGTTATATAAGTCCTCCTGCATACAGATAACGAAGTTTAATTATATTTGTCTTGTTTACTCGGCTTGAAACCCTAAAAACAGGTTTCGGCAACTTATTGCTTCCAACATTTTGGAGTACGCAAGGCAGTTATCTCGCTGTTCTGGTTTCGGTTACGAAAGGAAGGCAAAACGCTCGTAGTTCCCGCCCTCAGTACACTTTGGACACCTTACACACTTTGACACCGGATAACTAGATTGTGGCGACGCGCAATCACCAGCATTTTGGCGCTATAAAACCTCGTCGTCGTCTGCTTCAGGGAAGCACGGCCGCCCGCTACACACTCACGCGGGACAGAGGAACGTCCGTCGACCGACGCCGCCGAGGCAATAAAACCGCCGTTCCTTTTCTACGTTGGGATTCGCTCGTCACCACGACGCAGCATCCCACAAGATGAACAAGGATTTAGATTTGCTTCAGAGGTCACTTTCGCCGCTTCCTCATCGTCGAGCAGCCGGATCAGCTGACGGCAAGCCGCGGATGAAAGGCTTGAGCATCAACAGCCTAGAGCCACTACAACAGCCCAAGTGCACTCACGAGTCACGATGCGGGCGACGCGGGCTTCTGTCAATCCAGGGGCAGACCCAAGGGGGAGGCGGGAGGCGACGGGAGCGGCCGCCTACCCTCCAAACAGTCGACCCCCCCCCCCCCCCCCCCCCTGCCCCCTTCTTGGAGGGCGATTTGACATGGGTGGATTCCTCGAAATAAAACCAACTCCCGTCCTGCCAGGTGGTAGGAAGGATCGGTACTCAAGGTCGAGGGTTCGAAATAGGGCAGGCCGCACCCTAGCAGGCGCACACACTTGGAGAACCACTCCGTCGCTTAGACTGAAGTCCGCGGCGGCGGTTTCAAAGCACGGCAGAAGTTAGAACCAAAAGTCGGCGCAGCGGCGCACATCTAGGGGCCGTCGGCGCAGTGTGGTTCTGCGGCGGTTAAAACAAAAGGCGCAACCGGAGTCCTGTTTATCTTGCTTTAAAGTTTAGATTTTCCCTCCCCCCCCCCCCCCCCCCAAAAAAAAAAAAAAAGAAAAAAAAGA